GCTGGTGAGGCCGGCCCTCGAGTTCTGTGTTTAGTTTTGGGCCCCTCAGGACAAGAAGGGCCTTGAGGCGCTCGATCGTGTCCAGAGAAGGACGGAGGGTCTGGAGAACAAGTGTGCTGAGGGAAACGGGGCTGTTCAGCCTGGAGAAGAGGAGGCTGAGGGGAGACCTTCTCGCCCTGGCAGGAGGGGGCAGCCAGGTGGGGTCGGTCTCTTCTCCCAAGGAACAAGTGATAGGACAAGAGGAAACGGCCTCAAGTTGTGCCAGGGGAGGTTTAAGGCGAATATTAGGAAGAATTTCTTTACTGAAAGAGTTATTAGGCCTTGGAACAGGTTGCCTGGGGCATGGGTGGAGTCCTCGTCCCTGGAGGGATTTGGGCAGACCCAGCACTCAGGGATGCGGTTTTAATCAGTGGTTGGACCCAGTGGTCTTAGAGGTCTTTTCCAATGTGGGTGATTCTGTGATTCTGTACTATGTAGCCCTTCTTAGCGGGTACTTACGGTTTCTCAGCCAGGGGCACTGGGCAAAGGCTGTCGGTTTTCTGTCCTCTTTAACCCCTCTGATCTGTTCTGGAATAAGCTGGATGGTGGCTTTACCTGGCCGCCTCAGGCACTGTCTATTAGATCTTATTGCTAATTATACTTTCAGTCTTTTTATGGGATTTTTTTTCCTCCCCCACGCTAACTCCATCAGAGTTCTGGAAATTGTCGTCCTGGTTTCAATACACTAGAACTGAAACTATTGGAGAGGGTCCAGCAAAGGGCTCTGAAGATAACTGGGGGACTAGAACATCGCGCTTTTGAGGAAAAGCTGAGGGACTTGAGGCTTTTTAGTCTGTAGAAGGCTTGGGAGGTGATCTCATCAATATTTCAAGGGCAGGTGCCAGGAGGATGGGGTCAGCCTTTTCTCAGTGGTGCCCAGTGACAGGACAAGAGGTAACGGGCACAAAAGAGGCAGTTCCATCAAAACATGAGGAGAAACTTCTTTACTGTGAGGGTGACAGAGCTCTGGCACAGGCTGCCCAGAGGGATCGTGGAGTATTTTTCTCTGGAGGCTTTCAAAACCCACCTGGACGTGTCCCTGTGGGATCTACTCGAGGTGACCCTGCTCTGGCAGACAAGTGGGACTCGATGATCTCCAGAGATTCTTGTAGAAAAGACAGATTGCCCAGGAGAGAGCTCTGAGGAAGACGGCCCCTCATGTCTGCGCCTGTTCCCAGATCACCGCTGCTTGTACCGACTTCCCTGTCCTGATTTTCCTTGGCCCTGCCTCTCTCCCCATCCTGTACCTGCCACCCTCACCCCTGTCCCCTCTCTTACCCCTCAGGACCACGTCGG